GTATCTCTCGTGCACAGAGAGACGGCCTGTATTTTGGGTGGAACCAGTCTGAGATGCATGGTCTGGTTCTCTTTGTAATGGCACAAAATGAGCTAAAATCAGCTTGAGAACAGAGCGGGGATCCACCGAAGGGCAGGCTAATTGAGTTGCTGTCCATCCTCAGCACTCTCTTACAACTTTTTTTTTTTTGCTCTCCTTAGTATATTGAATGGATCAGAGCATTCTTAAACATAAACATACAAAAAATTACAGCACCAGCATTCCACCAACTATCCCATCACATCTACTTGCAATCTTAAAATCTTATAGATATAGTCTTTAAGTTAGCCTTGTGTTGATCAAACAATTCATTTAATAATACTTAAAGTGAAAATGCTAAGCATTTTAACACCTGAATATTTCTAGCACTGCATTTTGTCCTTAAGATGCTTCTTTAACCCCTTAAGGACACAACTTCTGGAATAAAAGGGAATCAAGACGGAATATTTCCGTCATCTGTCCTTAAGGGGTTAAGATAGCTTGTTGCATTTAATTATTCACTCTGTGTAATAAAATATTAATATTAAAATGATTTGGATTGCAATAGTACATCAGTGAATGTTTCATGTGACCATTGTACCATAGAAAAAAAATATGGAATATAAGAGTAAAAAAGGAATGGTTTACTATATACCATCACTTTTGCTCTTAGAACAGCTCTAGCAAACTGGAATAGTATGTTGGTAACATCTTTTCTGCTTTATGTATTTTGTCTGATAAATACTGTATACATTGCTGCTGCCCAGTGCCCAGTAGTAGGGGGAGATTATGCGCAGATCGTAATATTGGTCATGGTAATTATAAGCATAGAGCTTAAATTTGATATGGTAAATATATATATATATATATATATATATATATAGTTAATACAATGTTAAAAAAAAATCTGCACACTAGCCAAGTCATAAGACTTGTTTTTCCCAGAAATCACAAGTCGTATGGCTTAACTGATGTGCAGATTTTTGTTTAACATAGTATTAACTATCCACAGACTTCAGGTGGAAGGGGTTTTCCATAACTGTTTTGGTTGTTGAGATATATATATATACCAAAAGAGTTATGGTGGGAAAAAATGTGATTGAAAACCCCTTCCTCCTGGCTTTGCATCTTTTCCTAAGTTGTGTTTCAAAGCTGTTGTATACAGCAGACACAGACTCAAAGGAATTTATTTTTTATTATTATTATTCTTATTGCCATTTATTGGAATCCATGTTTAAAATGGAATGAGGCAAAAATGTTATTCTTTGTTGAACTAGTTTGCGTATGCCCACCCAGAATCCTTTATGTTAGTAACATCACTGCAAATTTGTGATTCCTGTGGGAAAAGCAAGTCTTATGGCTTGACTGGTGTGCAGATTTTTGTTTAACATTTTATTAACTATATATATATATATATATATATATATATATATATATATATATATATAT